GAAGCCTTCAAATCTGTGAGTCAAAATAAACTATGAGTGTCACAACAATAGGAATTTAACACAGAAACTAACTCAAGAAACTGGGGCAGGATGGCAGGAGGAGGGAGGCTTCAAGAATTGAAAAACAAACAAACAAACTAATGCTTTTACCTCTTGACTTGTTATGTCCCTTTCACACAAAGCACTCTTCTGAGGATGGAGACCTTTAACACAAGGCAGGATGAAGTAGGTCTGGAGGCTGAAACTGAGCTGAATACCAGAGTCTTTGGGAAAGTTTCTAAGTGTCCAGAGTGGAGTCCTTTCATTTCCTTGGATAGTTGGTTTTATTTGTTTGTTTGTTTGGTTGGTTGGTTGGTTGGCTGGTTGGTTGGTTGGTTGGTTGATTGGTTGGTTGGTTGGTTGGTTGATTGGTTGGTTGGTTGGTTTTGTTTCATTCTGTTTTGTTTTTAGAGGCAGGATTTCTCTTTGTAGACCTGGCTGTCTTAGAACTTGCTCTGTAGACCAGGCTAGCTTTGGACCCAGATCCACCTGTCTCTACCTCCCAAGTGCTGGAATTAAAAGTATGCACCACCACACCTGGCATGGACTTAATTTTATTCAACAGAAATACCTCTTGCCTTTGCAAGGACCATTTCCAATCTCTAGCTGTAAATTCCTCAGTGATAACTACAATAGATTGCATTAGACTTGGAGCCTTGCTCCCTACATTTCTCAAGTGCTTCTACTCCAGGAACATCTTAGGTTATTAAAGAATAACGTGAGGATGTCTCAAAATACACCTACACTGATGATTACTCAGGCCTAAATAAGACAACTGTATCATGCCCCCTCTCCACATGGCTCAGAGAACATCGTGGAAGAGGGGGTAGAAAAACTTCAAAAACAAGCAGTTGTGAAGAATGGCTGTGATAGTGCTGCTGGAATAAGAAGAGTTAGTTATTTCCAGAGAAGTGGCCCTCGTTAGGATGCCAGTATGGCCCTATATGTTCTCTGGGCATGACAGGACTGATATACTCATGAATTCATAATGGCTGTGGTTGCTTGCACAGTACCTGTACAACATCGATCCAGTCAAAATTCCAGCACATATGGAAGAGAGGCTTGTGGCCTCATCCCTAGCCGAAAAGCCTAGCATCTGAAGGCTGCCAACATGGGAAGTCGATGTTTTTCAGGAAATTGGCACCTGGTAGGTTGACTATGATCCAGTGGAACTTCCCAAATCAATGCACCCAAGGATAGCATTGATTGGACAGAGTGGGCTATGAAAAGAGGACATGAAGTTGAGAAGGGGTTTTGTAGGGGTAGTTCTGGGAAGGATTGGAAGGGGAGTAGAGAGTGGTTATGTTCAAGATATATTGAATAAATATACAAAATTCTTGAAGAATGAACTGTTTATAAATCTGTAAAAAAAATAGTAGCTAGAGAGATGGCTCAAAAGCTCAGAGCACTGTCTGCTCTTCCAGAGGACTCAGGTTCACATCCTGGTACCCACATGGCAGCTCAAAACCATCTATAACTCTAGTCCCAGAGTATCTGGTACCCTTCTGGCTTCCATGGGCACTGCACATGTATGGTGCACAGGGAAAACATTCTCACACGTAAAATAAAAATAAACCTTTTTTTTACAAATTAAACTTAGGAATATAAAGCATTAAAAAAAATACCTGTACTTGGATTTCTTTCCCCTATTGGAAAAAAAATGTTCAAGTTAGGTTTCATCTAACTTAGAAAAAAAAAGTCAATTTTGTCTTTCTTGGACAAAGAGGACACAGACTTTAACTGAAATCATGTTTTTCTGTGAGTGGCTTGATAATGTCTTCCACAATGTTCTTGTTGGAATCCTGATTTCCTGGTGAAGCTGTACTGGGAAATGGAGCCTGGTGAAAGCTGTTTCAGCGATGAAGGTAGAAAGTCACAAATAGAATCAAGCCTTCCTTGTGGGCTGGTTTTCACGTTTGAGGCCCTTGTGCATGCACTCTCCCCCATCCTGGCTTCTATCATGTTATGAACCAGCACAAAACTCTCATCTAATTAGATGGAACTGCCTGGTGTGAGACCCCCACTTCCAGAACCAGTAGTTTATACAAACGCGCTTACTTTATGTATTATCTAGTCCTAATTATTGTCATAGCAATAGGAAAAAAGCTACTTCACTGTTGGTTTGTGTTTTCACAAAGCCTTTGAGGTTCACCTAGGTGCAGGAAAATAATTCTTAATTCAGTGTCCATCTTTGATTTGTAAAGAAATACAGAATCCACTGAGGGAACATGGAGTTATAAATGCGGTCTTAGGAATCAGTGGTTGGTGATCCTGTGATCCAGAAACCTATCCTGTGGGAAACTGCTTCATTGCCAACCTCGCTGTGCAGTAAAGAGGTTAATTCGGGTGACAGAGAGTGTTCAAAGCCTGTAAACCCCAAATAAAGGACTGGTCTTTGCTTACCTCTTGAGCTATGACCTCTATTCTACTTGGCTCTAACTGTTAACTTGACATAGCCTCCACTCACCTAAGGGAGTCTCAATTGAGGGATGGCCCAGATGAGATTAGCTTGCTGGAATTTGGGAGAAGGGAGTTGTGGTAATTTGAATGAGAATAGTTTCCACTAGCTCATTGATTTGAATACTTGATCACCAGGGAATGACACTATTTGAAAGGATTAAGAAGTGTGGCCTTCTGGGAAGAAGTGTGTCACTGGGGGTTGCAAGGACCCAAGCCACTCTCTCTCTCTCTTCCTGTTGTCTGCAGATCTAGATCTAGAGCTCTCAGCTCCTTCTCCAACCCCATGTCTGCCTGCATGCCACCATGCTCCCTGCTATGATGAAAATGGACCAAACCTCTGAGACAGTAAGCAAGCCCCAAGTAAATGCTTTCTTTTATAAGAGTTGCCATGATTATGGTGTCTCTTCCCAGAAATAGAACACTGACAAAGACAGATGTCTTATTAATTGATGTAGGAGGGCCCAGCCCACTGTGATCAGTACCATCTCTAGACAACAGTTGACCCTGAACTATGTAAGAAACCAGTTGAGTACATGTCTGCCTGCCAGCCAGGTAGCAAACAGAATCTTCCATGGTTCCTGCTGTGCTCCCTTGGCTGCAAACTGAACTCCTTCGTTGGAGATAATGCTGAGTGGAATAGAAGCAGGCTTGCCTTCAAGTCCCTGCCATGACTTCACCCAGTGATGGAGTATGACCAGGAATTTTACATCAAATAAATGCTTTTCCTCTCTAAGCTGCTTTTTTTTTCCTCTAAGTTGCTTTTTGCTAAAATGTTTTCACCACAGCTACAGAAATGAAACTAGAACACATCTATCTTTAGAATAATCTTCCTGATAAAAGTGTCCAGTAAAACAGAAGGCTCTTGCCATAGCCAAGAGTGTATGCTGAGCATGCAGTTAATGCCTTCTGGTATGTGGTTGGTGCCCTGGATCACAGTACACTGGACTGTCTGTTTCAGAGACTGACAAATGGTGAGTCAGTTGGTGTTCCATGCCTGTGTGACATGGGCTGGGGTTCGGGTGAGCTTCTTAATGGCTTTTAGTATTAATTGTCAACTTGGTAGCTTAGAATCACCTAGAAGTAAATCTCAATGAGAAATTGTTGAGCTAGGGTTTTCCTGTGGACATGTGAGTCATTTTCATCGAGTTATTTGAGATAAGAAGATCTACCCCAAATGTGGATCTCACAGTTCTATGGGCTGGACCTTAAACTTCTAGAAATGCAAGGAGCAAGCTGAGCACTAGTGAGCATGCATTCATTCTCTCTGCTCTTGTCTGTGGATGTGACAGCTGCTTCAACTTCCTAACACCTTGACTTCCCTGCAATGGTGGACTCTGTCCAAGAGCTAAGAGCCAAATAAACCCTTGGCCCTCAAGTTGCTTTTGTCTGGGTGTTCTGTCACAGCAGAAAAGGGAACTAAGACATCAGTGTTCCATGCATGTTGCCACACAGTGCTGTTGGAAGAAGCCACTGGTTTCCATGACTTCACTGGAAACACACATCTGGTCTAGCACAGCCCAGTCCCGAGTTGTACCTTTGTTCCTTTCAATCAGTGCCCTTCACATAATGAACCATATCTGAGAGGAGAATGGCTTTCTGGAGTTTTGTGAGTCTCATTAAGAATCATTAAGTCTGAAGGTGGTCTTTGGGACCTCAACACAAAAGCCACAGATCACTTTATCACAAGAAATAATAGGTATTTTTCTTTACCCTTGTCAGTTCCACCACTCCTGGAGAACACAAAGAATGTGAGTTGAGCCGGGCGGTGGTGACTCACGCCTTTAATCCCAACACTCGGGAGGCAGAACCAGGCAGATCTCTGTGAGTTCGAGGCCAACCTGGTCTACAGAGCGAGATCCAGGACAGGCACCAAAACTACACAGAGAAATCCTGTCTCAAAACAACAACAACAACAAAAGAATGTGAGTTGATCTTTCTTATTGAATTTGAAGATTTCCCTTCCCCTAATTCCAAATGTTTCCTACCCTTTTCTCCTCACACCATCCTTCAAGTTCTCATCTTACTCAGAAATGGAGAGAGAGAGAGAGAGACCTTTGTGATGACGGACTGTCTTTTTCAACTTGACGGGACTGAAACAAGTGCCTAGAAAATTTATACAGCACACCTCTGTGTGTCTGTGAGGGCATTTTCAGAGATAATTCCATCATGAGGGCCCTCACCTAATGAATGCATCAGTCCCTTGATGGTTCCGAGTATGACGGCTGTATTGGAAAGTGGTCAAAAGGAGGAGGCAGGGGATAGTTGAAGGAAGTAGTCACAGGTAGGGTGTGTCTTGGAGAGCTGTGTCCCGCCCTGGTAACTTTCCATTTCTCATGTGTCTGTTTACTGACCACCATGAAGTGAGCTGCTCTGTTCTACCATGCCTTCCCACTACAGAGAACTAAAGCCCTTTAGAACCATAGCCCAAATAAATCTTCCCTCCCTTAGGTTGTTCTTGTATTTGAAGCACACAAATGCAACAGTGATGAATACACCTTGGAGACCTTTCATTCCTTCTCTTTTATCTCAGCAGCCCCCAGAGAAGTCACACAGAACATGTATGTTCAGCCCACAGTCAGTTAGGCAACAAATTGTCCCCAGGACCCCCCTCCCAGTCCCTTCCCACCTCCCTGGGCAGAGCTGGAAGCTTCTCACATGACACTTTCATTACCTCCCCGACCCCTTGATGCCCCCTTTTCTTGTGCCATGAGTGACTTGTAGGGCTTCCCCAGGCTGGGAAGGGTCAGCTCAGCCTCCTGCAGCTCCAGCTCCCGTTGGGACAAATGCTCAATGACGGCCGCTCCAATTGAGTCTCCCAGTACATTGGTCATCGTACGCAGCCGGTCACTGGTGGAGGATAGATAGATTAATGAAAGGGCGTGAAAGGTTCCTTCAAGAACCCAGGGTAGACTAGCAGGGCTTCCAGGCTAATTCACAGTCACATGACCTTGAACAGGCCCTGCTCTTCCTCAGATTTCCTTCCTAACAACATAATCCCTTAAATCCTCAGATCTATTCTTTAATTTATGACTCTTGTTTCTAAATATGACTAACCTAAAAATGATTAGATATGAGAGTCTGATGTAGATGGTTAGAGATTAGGATCTGATTCAGACTGTTATACATGAGCATCTGATGCAAAGTATTAAACATGAGCATCTGAGGCAGAGTATTAAACATGAGCATCTGAGGCAGAGTATTAAACATTAGCATCTGATGCAAAGTATTAAACATGAGCATCTGATGCAGAGTATTAAACATGAGCATCTGAGGCAGAGTATTAAACATGAGCATCTGATGCAGAGTATTAAACATGAGCATCTGATGCAGAGTATTAAACATGAGCATCTGATGCAGAGTATTAAACATGAGCATCTGAGGCAGAGTATTAAACATGAGCATCTGAGGCAGAGTATTAAACATGAGCATCTGGTGTAGACTTGTTAGGCACAAGTATCTGGTGCAGACTATTAGATATGAATGTTGGATACAGACTGTTTGACATGTGTCTACGTAGGTGTGGGCAGGCTGGGGATTGTTCAAATGGAACTTTAGTCCTTCTGTACAAATGGGACTTGGTCTTGCTCACAGCACCCACATTGGAATGAAAATCAGCATTTTATGTAAATTCCATGTTATAAGAAAAGAAATGAGAGAGGGAAGAAATGGTGAAAGGAGGTAGTGATGTAGGAAGTATAAAGAGAAAGAAAGAAAGAGAGAAGAGAAAGAAAGAAGGAAAAAAGAAAGAGGGAGAGAGGGAGGGAAGGGAGGGAGGGAGGGAAAGAAGGGAGGGAGGGAGGGAGGGAGGAAAGGAAGGGAGGGAGGGAGGGAGGAAAGGAAGGGAAGGAGGGAGGGAGGGAGGGGAGGAAGGAAGGAATGAGACAGGTGGAGAAAAAGGAGGGAGAATGGAAGAGAAGGAAAGGACAGAGGGAGGAGAAGAAAGGAAAGCAAGGGAGGAGGGAAAGAGAGCAAGAGAGGAGGGGCAGGAACAGGGTAGGAGTGGCTCCTCCCTGCTGATGATGAGGAGTCACTGTCTTCAGGTGTGCGCCCTCCCACAAGCCGACTAAGCTCCATGGCACAGTCTCACAGCAAGACACACAAATGGCTCTGCTGTGCTCAGGGGATCACAAAAGGAAGACATGAATGTGGGGAGCGGAGGTGTAGGGAGGAAAGCGGACAGGGTGGGAAGGAGTTAAGAGAGAGAGGGGGAGTAACCAGAAAGCACTGCATACATGCATGACCTGTCAAAGAACAGATTGAATTAGTGAAAAAGAACAGAGGGAAGGAGGGAAAGAGAGAAGAGAGAGAGAACATGTGCATTCATAGCGTTCAGCTCATAAATCCACCAAAATTCTTTTGTCCATCATCAGAGGTGATTTGTAAGTCAAATTTCTTCACTATTTAATGCAGCAGGAAACTTGTGTTTTCTTCTCACTTCTAAAATTCTTCAGAATTAACATTTCACTAAGGAAAAAACTGTTTTAAATTTTTGAGTTAAAAAATATTTGAACACTTTTGTATGATTTCTGTATGAAATGGTCTGAAAAGGAGGGGGGGGGCTGATAGATGGAGACCTCCTTTTTAGAATTCTCCTCACTCTATGTCCCAAAGATGATAAATCTATGGGCTTGGAGTCCACAGCCATCACTAACAGACCATCCCAATGCCTCCCTAACCCCCTCAAATCCTACAACCATGTCCTTGCAGAATCCTTCAGGAAAAGTTATGAGAAGCCAAGTCACACTCACAGGAACCAATCCACAGCTATGATCAGCGTGATGTCCTCTGTGGGCAGGCCGACGGACGTGAGCACAATCACCATGGTGACCAATCCTGCCTGGGGGATGCCAGCTGCTCCTACACTGGCAGCTGTGGCTGTGATACTGCAAATGGGAGGAGCCGGGAATTCAGGAGGAAAGAGAGAACAGAAGATTGGAAGATCAGGAAGGGAAGGGCACCGTAAGTTAAATCCCCAAGCCAAAACGAAAGAAAAATACTTGGATGTGAAACTAAATTTAAAAAGTTGAAGTTACAGAAGCAAAAAGCAGAAACCGTGATGCTGGGCAGATGGGCTGGGAGATGGGGAAATGTCTGTCAAAGGGCACAAGATGTCTAGATACCAGATGACTGGCTTCCGGAAATCTAATGTATGGTGTGGAGGGTGTGGCTAATGATACTGTGTTTGTATTTCAAAGAGAATAGACCTGAAGTCTATTCTCACCCTCAGCAAAGAGAAAGAGAAGGGAGAGAGGGAGAGGAGAAGAGAAGGACAGACAGGGAGAGGAGGGGAGAGAGGAAAAGAGAAGGAAGGGAAGGAGGGAGGGAGGAGAGAGGAAGGGAGGGGAAAATAAGGAGGAGCTGAGAAAATGAGAGGAGAGAGGAGACGCAGGCACCAGAGGCGGTGTGGGGGAAGGAAGGAAACCATAGGAGACAAATATAATAATCAGCCTGAGTGTGCTGATCGTCTGCAGAGGGCACAGGTAGCAAATCATCATGAAACACAGCTTCAAATACACGCAACTTCAAATACAGCTGTCATTCAAGAAAGCTGCGGCTGGGAAAGGAGAGTTGTTTTTTAAGAAGGCAAATACAGCTCACCACGTTGAAGGCCAGGACATTCCGGCCCGTCTTGGTTTTGGAGTCTAATTCTTTCTTGATTTAAGTTGTTTGTTTTCTTAATTTCATATGTATGAGTGTTTGCCTGCATGTATGTTGTATACTGCATGTGTGCCTGGTGGCCACGGAGTCCATAAAAGAGCATTGGGACTCCAGGAACCAGGGTGATAAACATCAGTTATGTAAGTAGTGGGAACCAAACCAGGTCCTCTGTAAGAGCAGCAAGTGCTCTTAACTGCTGAGCCATCTCTCCAGCCCACTGGAGACCATTTCTTACTCAGATAATCTTTTTTAAAAATTAAAAAGCTAAGGATCTATCTCAGTGGTAGAGCACCTATCTAGCATGTATAAATCCTTGTTTTCACTTCAAGTCCCACAAATTAATATGAAATTGAAAGTAGGATCTACGGCATCACAGGTGGCCTATGTTAAAATTCCAGAATTAACTCCAATTGCCAGGAAAAATGTAATATGTATTGTAAAGGCCACTGAGTTTCCCAGCAAAGGCAGTAGTGCCCTTCAGATGCCAGCTCTCTCCTCAGTAGTTGAGGACACCCCTTTCTAGCTTCTATAGCCATACACACAGAACAAGGGGAGATGATTAGCACAGAGGACAGCTCTATCAGAATGGTGGTTGAGCAAATACTCAGGCTGGCATTAAAGAATGGGCCTTCGAGGGAGAAGACTCCATTCATGAGCTTTATATCTTGCACATGAACTCAGATCCTATCCTGCCTCATCAGGAGAATGGCAGACACATGCCTATCTTCTCATTGTGATAGAAAAGAGACAAGGACAGTGCCTGTCTAGGCTTCTCATCTGTTACTGAGATTTAAAAAAAATGTGCCCAAAAGAAACTTTGGGAGAAAGGGTTTTATTTTAGCTCACGATTCCAGGTTATAGTCCATCATTATAGAGAAGTCAAGGCAGGAACTTGAAGCAGTTAGCCACAACGCTTCCGCAGTCAAGAGTACAGAGAAAATGTGTGCATACTGATGGGTCTGGTCTCTCTCAACGTTTAAACAACTCAGGACCCAAACCAAGGGAAGAAGTACTGCCCACCTTTAGGCTGAACCTTCTCACATTAATTAAAACAATCAAGTTGATCTCCAACAAACATACCCAAAGGCCAATGAGCCCTCATTGAGATTCTCTCCTCTGGTGATTCCAGATTCTGCCAAATGGACAATTAAAACAAACCACCACATCATTAGCCTAGGAAAAGATTCCAATCGAAAAGGAAGTGTAGGGGCCTGAGAGATGGCTCAGTGGGTAAAGATGCTGTGCTGCCAAGTCTGACAGTCTGAGTTCAGTCCCCAGGACCCGCATAGCGGAAGAGGAAAACTGAATCCTGTGAATGGTCCTCAGACCTCCACACGTGCTCCGTCACACACACACACACACACACACACACACACACACACACACACACACACACGCATGCGCGCACACACACACACAAATGTAATTTTTAAACTCTTTTAAACCAAGTGGCTGAAGAGATGGTTCAGCAGCTAGGAGCATTTACAGCTCTTGCAGAGGACCCAAGCTCTATTCCTAGAACCCGTATCAGGCAGCTGCCTATAACTCCAGTTCCAGGGAACTTGAAGCCCTCTTCTCACCTTAGAAAACACCTTCACACATGAGGTGAACACAGACTCAGACAGGCACATACAAAATAGAAAAAATGTGAAGTGTAGTTTCTACTGAACATGTATCACACTCACACCGTTATAAGCCAAACTATCATTCCATTACCAGACATGGTGGCACATGCCTACAATCCCAACCAGCCAAGTGAGGGGGGGGGAGAGGGAGGGAGGGAGGGAAAGAAAGATCATAAGTCAAACCATCTTAAGTCAGGATGTGTCTATGGTAGAAATTTCCAACGAAGAAAATACTTTCCTTCACAGAGTTTACATTTTCATTCTTGTATGATATGCAGACAATTAGCAACATGGGTGAGAAAAATCACCCATGGAGACAAATGCTCTGGAGCATCCTACATCCTTCATCCAAAATAATGGAAACCAGAAATATTTCACAGGTTGCTTTTTTGTTTTTCAGATTTTTGGATATTTGCATATACATAATTTTATATCTTAGGTAGGAATGAGATGCAACTATAAACAGGAAATTTGTCAGTAGACCTTGTTCACCCAGCCTGTCCTATCCGGTTGATAACATTATCATCTCACCTGATTGTGGTGATCTGGCCCAGGTTGAGCTCATAGTTGTTGACTTGAGCAATAAAGATGGCTGCCAAGGCCTCATAGAGTGCAGTGCCATCCATGTTGACAGTGGCCCCCACAGGCAGCACGAACCTGGTGATGCGGCGGTCCACACCCAGGCCCTCCTCCAGGCATCGGAAAGTGATAGGCAGGGTTGCAGAGCTGGGGGAAGAGAACTCTGGAGGCTGAGAATAGGGAGTTGAAGGATGGGGAGGGGGAAGTAGCAGCAATGGGCCAAAGGAGGGCTTCCCTATAGCACATATAGAGCAGGTTGGAATTTGAGCAAGGAGTAGAAAGTGGGAATGACAGTTGTGCGTGGGGAAATGGGACTCCTAATGCAGAGAGAACTCAGTGGTAGATGTTCCCAGAGGAATGTCTCTTGACCCATTCACACGAAGATTTTATGACACAGTCTAGTTCAAATGGCTGACCTCCCACACCAAAGTCTAAAGATGATGGCTAACTTCAATTGTCAACAACGGAACCAGAAATTACCTAAGAAGAGAGTCTCCATGGGTTACTATGTTTGGTCATCCTATGGGAATTACCTTTGGGGGATTGTCTTAACTAATTCATATGAGAAGACCCAGCCAACTATGGGTGGTGCTATTCCCTAGGCAGGGGGTCCTGAACTATATAACAGTGGAGAAACCAAGCTGAGCATAAGCAAGCAACCAGCAAGCATGCATTTATTCTCTGTGCCTGGGTGTGATGTGACTACCTGCCTCAAGTTCCTGTTTTGATTTCCCCACAGTGATGGGCTATAACCTGGAATTGTAAGCCAAATATATTTCTTCCCCACACACTAAACTGCCCTTTATCAGGGTATTTTATCACAGCAACAGAAATGAAAGTAGAACAGTAAAAGACAGAGTGTTTGTCTGCACAAGAAACAACCTCATCTAGAGGAGCTAGGGCTCTCCCCAACCACTTCACAGAGGATACTTTCATTTGACTGGCAACTTAGTAGAAAAAGTAGGCATCTCATTTGGGGTCAGTTTGTCTGCAAGAACTGACCCCTGTGTGGTCATCTTTATGCCAAGAAACTTAAAGCTTGGACTCAAGTCTTTGGCCCTGGAACCAGACATTGCCTACTGCAAAGCACCCAATTCTACTTCAACCTTTCCCAAGCATCAGAAACAGCACTGGAGGTGGGATCAGGGGCTGACTAGCTCCATAGTGATCAGACGGGTTTAATTCTGGGTACAATAGTATCAGTCCTATTTAGCCCCAGATCAAAGATCAAGAGGTACATTCTTCAATGAGGACAATAAAAATATTTTTTCCTATCTGTTTGGATCTTGGGATATTTTGTCAAGCTGTTTTGAATTTGGATGATGAGAGATGAGGAACACTTTAGTAACCCTCTAAAAGCACAAACCGGAGAGGAAAGCTTAAGAAGCCAAGACTCTCTGAGCTTGTGTTACTCCCCCTGTACCATCTTAAACCCAGAATTGGCATCTGTCTCTCCTCCTTATAAACTAGAGAAACAAAAGAGACAAGGAGGTTATGAGAGTCATCACAAGACAAAGACTAGATCCCCGAGTATAGACCACCTGTAGAGAGTTTCAAGAGTCCCCCAATACTACTGTACAATCAGAAGAGGTGTTTGGGGAGGTGGAGAGGAGGGTACCTAAAGGAACCTATGAAAGATGAAGAATGAACTGAGGGAGAGTTCAGGGAAAGGCCATACCTGGAAGAGGTACCCATAGCTGTGATGAGGGCCTGTAGTATGCCCCCAATGAATGGGAAGGGGTTCCGATGGGTGACGAGAAAGTAGATGAGGGGCAAAACACCACCAGCATGGAGGAACAAGCCAACGATGACAGTCAGAGTATACATGCCCAGCTGACCTCCAAGGACAGCCATGTCTTCCATTTCCAGAATCTTCCCAGCAATCAGGAACAGGATGCCCACAGGTGCATACCTGGGCAAGGCACATATGTATTAGGGTGATCTTCCTCACAGGTCTGGAGTTGACATTCCCCAAACTTTGCCCATATAGTGTCCTGGAGCCAGACAGTTCTTACCATGAAACCCCAACTCCACCCCAACCTTTCCCAAGCATCAAAGCCAGCACTGGGACACAGCGGAAATGGCCCTGTGGTTAGGAGTACTAGCTGTTCAATGATGAAAATCTAGTTTCGGACACATCATCCACATTGAACAGCTCAAAAACACCTCTAACTCCAGCTCGAGGGATCTGGCACCACTTTCTGGTCTCTGTGGGTACCCACAGAAACACCTGCACACACACTTACATACACACACATATATAAAATAAAATATTTTTTAAATAGCCCTGGTGTTAGGGTTTGCTCCCAAAACATTGCCCCTAAAGGCTCATATGTTGAAGGCCAGTGTTCTGAGGTGGGGCCTGTGGAAGCTAACTCTTCATGACAGTTCCAGTCTCTGCTATGGGTTATCCATTGATAGAGTCATAGCTGAATGAGCTATTGGGAGTAAACTATAGGAAAGGCCTAGTTAAAGACAGTAGTAGGTCACTAGGGGGTGTACCCTTGAAAAACATGTCTTCTCCCCAGTCTCTCCCTCTCTTTTTTCTAGATGCAGTGAAGTTAGCAGCTGCATTGGCTATATCCATTCACCATCATGGCCCAAAAGCAATGGAGCCAGCCAACCATGCATTGTTTCCTGCAAACCTGTGAGGCAAAAATAAACCTTTCCTCCTTTAAATTGGTTTTCCTGGGCATTTTGTCATAGCAACAAAAAGCTAACTAATACAATTGGATTCTATGAATGTACCCACCTCACACTGGTCACCCACTACTCATCTGATCAGCAGAAAAGTTCCTACAACATCACAGCATTTCAGCCTTCTGGGGTCTTTATCTCATTCCCTCATTCAGGCCCCTTCCAGCTCAACTCCAGATGACTATTCCCTTCAGAATTCCATCCTTAGTGTGGCAGTTTGAATGAAAATGGTACCGCTAGGTTCATAGGGAGTAACACTATTAGGAGGTGTGGCCTCATTGGACTAGGTGTGGTCTTGTTGGAGGAAGTTTGTCATTGGGGCAGGGTTTGATGTTTCAGAAGCTCAAGTCAGGCCCAGTGTGTTTCTCTCTTCCTGCTGCCTGCAGGTCCAGATGTAGAACTCTTAGCTCCTTCTCCAGCACCATGCCTGCTTGCATGCCACCACACTTCCTACCATGATATTAATGAACTAAATCACTGAACTGTAAAACAGCCCTAATTAAATGTTTTCCTTTATAAGAGTTGCCATGCTCATGGTGTCTCTTCATAGCAATAGAAACCCTAACAAGACACTAAGACATCCCCTATCTCTGGCCTTCTAAATTTCCATAAATTGCTCTCTGTGCTAGTTTGTTTGAAGTATCAACTTGACACAACCTAAAATCACCTGAGAAAACAGTTTCAATGAGGAATTATCTAGATCAGATTGGCCTGTGGACATGTGCTTGGGAGACTGTCTTAATTGCAAACCGTTGTAGAAAGAGACAGTCGACTGTGGGCAGCACCATTTAATGGGCTTGGCCCTGGACTGTGTAAGAATAGAGGAAGCTGGCTGAAACTAAGCAAGCAAGCAAGCAGGGATTCATGTGTTGATTCTCTCTGCTCTTCTCTGTGATGTGATGTTTTAAGTTCCCGTTTTGTCTTCTCTACAATAACGGACTGTAACCTAGAAATGTGAGGCTATAAATAACCCTTTGCTCTTTATGTCAGAATTTTAGCAACCAAAATGAACCTAGAGTCCTCCTTGTCCAGTCACTCGGAGTTTCTCAGGCATTGCCTGTTCTCTCCCTTGTTGGTGATATACCTCTCCTCTTCACATCCAGTTAGGTTCTTCCTCTCCTTTCAAGTCCAGCTGCATGGCTCACTCCTCATCTTCCCAGGCAGCATCCACTGCCTATGGGTCCATCCACCACTGCTGGAGCTTTACTACAGCACCTATGGCTTTGTGTTACACACAGTGGTCTACATCTGTCTCTCCCTGGACTTTACAAACTTCTTCAAGATAAAGTATGACTTCAGTGTATCGCTGAGTCTCAATCCCTGGGAAACTGTCTGCTAGATGAATGAGCTAGTGAAGGAGTGAAAGAATTTTGAAAAAATTAATGTGAAAAGGGGACACAGGTCTGGGAAGAGGGCTCAGTGGTTAAAACACTTATCATGTAAGCATGAGGACCAGAGTTTGGACCCTCCAAAACCTATGTAATGCTTGGTAGGCATTGCAGCAAGCCTGTATTTCCAGCCTCAGAAGGTGAAGTCAGGGGATCTCTCAGAGCAATTTGGCTAGCAAGATGAGCCATTTCCTTGAGCTCCAGGTTTGACTGAGAGATCCTTTCTTAATGAATAAGAGCTATGGAAAACCAGCCCTAATTTTCTTTTATAAGAGTTGCCATGGTATAAGTGCTATGGAAAATGATTCCCAACATCCCCTTGGGCCACCACACACATACTTGCCCCCACTCTTGTAAAAATAACGTACATTCACATGCACATCACACCATACCCAAATGTAGACAGGAAACTAAAACAGGGCATGAGTAAGTATGAAAGTGAAGAGATAAATGGAATATCTGAGGGAGTAAATGAGAGAATGGCAAATGCATACATAAATCAACAGGTTTGGGGGTGAATCCAAGTGTATTGGTTTGAGTGAGTAAATAAATAAATACAGTCAATGTCTTAACTAATGGGGTTAATACTACAGCTCAGTGTCACAGTAATTGCCTAGCTTACTCAAGGCCCTAGGTTCCATCCTGAGCACCATGGAAAAAAAGATTGTTATTTAGGAAACTGAAGGTACAGCTCAGTGGTAGAGTGATTGATTATCTAGTAGACGTAAGGTCTTGGTTCAACCCTACCACTTAAAAATAATTATGGGGGCCAGAAAGATGGCTCCCCAGGTAAAGACATGTTCTGTCAAGCCTGATGGCCTGAGTTGGATCCTGAAATCCACATGGTAGGAAGAGAGAACTTACTCCCACAACTTTAATCCTCTGTCTCCACATGCATGCTGTGGTATGCATATCCATACACATATACGCAGACAGGATAGATAGATAGATAGATAGATAGATAGATAGATAGATAGATAGATACATAGATACATAGATACATAGATACATAGATACATAGATACATACATAGATACATACATAGATACATACATAGATAGATACATAGATAGACACATAGATAGATAGATAGATAGATAGATAGATAGATAGATAGATAGATAGATATAATAAAGTGATCGTTGTGAAGTAATTTAACTAATGAACATATTTATCAGTGAATAGATACAGAAGAAATGATTTAACTGATAAATAGCAAAAGACATTAAAAGAAGATAAGTGGGCCAATGCTAGAAAAAATGAGAATGAATGAGTGAATAAAAGAAATAGATGAGGAAATGAATGAATGAATAAGTCACTGAATCGAATCATTGCAGAAAAGAATGAGGAAGTGAATTAGTGAGTTGATGAGTGAATAACAAATGCAGAAATGTGGTGGTGCATGCCTGTAATCCCACTAATCAGGAGGCTGATACAACAGGCTGGCAGGTTCCAGACGATCCCGGGCTACACAGGAAGACCTGTCTCAAAACAGTGCAATGAGCTCACAGCAGCTGTAGTTGTCCGCACAAATGGACACAGGGTCAAGCCGGTCAACATTCCAGCATGGACTGAGGAGAGACTCACAAGCCCCACTCCTAGCTGAGAAACTATTTTGACAGTTAATGGCTGCTGGGGAATGAAGAGTCAAATTTCTTCATGGATGTGGCATCTTGTAGGTTGCCCAAATCAGTGGCTGTGCCCTCATCCATGTTCATACAGACAGTTCTAATTGGAATCAGTGGGAGATATATACAAACACATGCATATGAGGATATAAAGTTGGAAGGGGAACATGAGAGCCTGAGAGAAGTCGAGGGAGAATGGGTATTATCAAGACACTTTGTATACATGTATGAAATTATCTAAGAATACATTTTTATTATATAAAAATGGGGGGAAGTGGGTGACCCAGTGTGTGGGAGAATGAACATAGATGAATGAGTGAATGAATCAGGGAGTGAATGCACAAGTGAGTGAGTGATTAAATAGATTAATGGGGTTATGAACCGCTGAATAAATCACTACAGAAAGATATGAATGAACCGATGAGTTAATGATTAAATTAACTAACACACAGATGAATGACTGGCCAAATGTCTCCAACAGTCCCATCAGCCTGGTCACCGTCACGCCCAGGAACCACCACCCACCCAGGCACAAGCACCCACCCACTACTCACCAGATGATGATGCCCACCAGCCTCATAATAGCCTCATTGAGGCTGTCAAAGAAGTCCCTCAGGACACGGCCTTTGTGCTTCATGCCACCAATGACCAGCCCGAAGGCCACAGAGAAGACCACAAGGCCCAAGGCATTGATGCCACTGGCTGAACCAGGCACAGGCACAGTCTCCTCGAAGCTTATCACCTCCTGCAGGGTGCCCAAGGCCCGGGTGACATTTTCCAGGATGCTGGTTTCATTCTCCACTGAGGATGGGGGAGACATGGAGGCCCCCAGCTCTGACCCATTCTCTGTCCTTACAATAGTCCTGGTTACCACTCGGGTGCTGTACTGCGTCTTAAACTGAAATGTGGAGAAATTGAGACCAGATTCAGTATGGTGGTTAACTCCCTTGTAAATATCCCTTAAAAAAACAAAAATAAAAACCAGGAGCTAGGTGTGTGAGGCCCTGTGTTCCATACTTGGCATGCACACACACACACACACACACACACACACACACACACACAAATTACTCTTAAAGCCCAGCAAGCCCACGGTTGGATACGTAACCGAGGAAGTGAATTAAATAACTCAAAGAAATACAACATGAGCTACCCAAAAATCCAAATCTGTGGCAGACAAGATGGCTCAGTGAGTGAAGGGGCTTTCAGCCAAGGCCGATAAACTAAGTCTGATCCCAGGCCCCACATGGTAGAAGTGGAGAGCTGACTCTTCAACTTGTCCTCTGCTCCACACATGTGCTCCATGGCATGTACCCATCTATACAACAACCACGCACACAAAGTAAATAAAATGCAATAAAACAACAATCCAATAACCAAAATGCACCAAAACTGATTTATCTGTGTGCACACGTGCATCTGCTTGTTTAATTGGAATGATTTGGCCATTTCACTATATATATGTATTTCATATATATTTATGTATTTTGCGTTTATATATGAAATATATGCATTTATCATATATAATGAATCATATATGAATATATGCATGTTTCATGTGTTTTATATATCATATTTATATGACATATATGCATGTATATATTTCAAAGGCCCATAAAGACTTATAGCATATCACCCTGTTGTACAGCAGCTTCCTCTAAATTGAAAGATTCACTCCAGTAGGGAGCTGGAAGATTCATGAAATTCAGAAAGTAAACAAACTTCCCGTTTGAGAAATCTGAAGCTTACAAGATTTGTGAAGTCCCTTCCCTGTCTTTATAAAATCATTAGCTAGTGGCTAGTGGAGGAGACTCTGACCTGCCAAGCTGCTGAGAGGAGATTCCCGGACCTGGTGAGCTGCTTGCACATTGCACAGAGAACTCCTCCAGGAATACAGCTTTCAACAGTTGCCACCCACGATAGGATGGACTTTTCTGGGGATGCAACTGCTTTTGAGTCACGACTGCTCCTGTAAGTAACCCCTCACCTACACTCCAACTAAAAAGCTTGCCAAGAACTCATTGGCTCACCAAATTGGTGCAATCATGACTTTGGTCTGTCATGAGGTGACAGACCTGTGTGTTTTATCTCCCCAGAAAAAGTTTCACACACAACTCCTCAACATGTATGAATTCCATGTCCATAGACACAAGCAACCATGGATTGAAAATGCTGGAAAAAACCATTTGTGTAGTGAACACATGCAGACCTTTGTGTGTCATTAGCCTCTAAACCAGCGGTTCTCAACCTGTGGGTCATGGCCGTCAGAACACACGAACTTCGTATCGTCTCAGGAACTGAGACACCACTCAGGAGCAAAATTACAGTTATGAAGTAGCAACAAAAATAATGTTATGGTTGGGGGTCACCACAACATGAGGAACTGCATTACAGAGCCACAGCGTTAGGAAGGTTGAGAACCACTGCTCTAGACGGTTCTAATGCAGAACAGCTGTCTGCATATATTTTACGTATGTTAGCTGTCCTGCATCACCTAGAGGTGATCTAGAGGTCATCTGCAAATTCTACCCATTGATAGAAGAGACTTGAGCAGCGAAGATTTTTTTATACAATCTTTGTTAATGCCAAGGGATAGCACAATTTTTGTATCTCTATTTTAAATTTGTTAATAAAGAAATGAATAACTGTGCCAGCAAGACAGCTCACAGCAGGTCAAAGTGTTCCCTGAGCACAGGCCTGACGATCTGAGTTAGATCTTCATAACCCATGGTGGGAGGAGAGAACCAGTCCCCAAAAGTTGTCATGTGAGCTCCACATCCACACCTGACATGCATTCACACACACACACACACACACACACACACACACACACACACTGAAAATAATAATAATGATAATAAAAATAATAATAATAATAATAAAAGGAATTAGTAACTGACATTTGCCTAATATAAACAAGTCCTGGGTTTCATCCTCTTCACCAAGGAAAAGAAATAAGTAACCAAATAGTGAGGGTTTTTAAAACCAAGCACGGAAAAATGGATAGATAGTCTGCATCTTTACGTCTAGCCTTCAATAAAGGGGTTGCTATACGCCCCCTGATGGCCAAATCCAGTCCACTACTTGCTTCTGTAAATAAAGTTTTACAGGAAAGTCTAAGTTTTCTTCACATGTTGCCTGTGGCTGCTTTTCTACTATCAGCCCCAAGCTGATGCTCAGACAGATTTTAGCACATCTGTGATCAGAAGTCTCAGAACCCCGACCCCAGCGTCCTAGCCTCCATGAGTTCCATAACCTGGCAACCCTTTGCATCACCATCATAGCCATGGGCAGTACACATATTCTCCCAGAATCCTCCCCAAGGTCCCCCCACTCAGGCCCTTCTTCCACCCTTCTCCTTGGGAAGCAAGCTCCCTCCACCCTCCATCCCTCCTTGATTAAACCATGTGCTTCTCCAAACCTGTTTGAAGCAGGCCTCCACAAGGTTAGGTGGAAACATATTTCTGCACAAAAACATCAGAGAAGGGAAAGTGGTTAGAGTCTGGGAGAGAGCCAAAGGTCATTACTGCACTGACAGCCATGACAACAGCAGCAGCAGGCAATATAGAAATGCATGGTGTGGGCCGAGTGTTGAGTAAAGTACCTGCCCTACATCATCTGACATAAACGCTGCAATGACCCTAGAAGTAAACACTGTAAATATCTCTAGCTTCCACACGAGGTAACCAAAGGCCAGAGGAGCTCACCCAGACCCATGGAGCTGCTCAGAGGTGCAGATGTAACTTACCATGGATTGATTGTAGTTAGGCCCCTCCCAAAGTCATGGAATCTGATCGCCATAAAGGTGATGGTGGAGCCTTGGACTAAAGAAGTTCACAGAGTAATAGGAATTGGCCTTGTTTTTGATATGCTTGCTCTGGATAACCATCATGTGCTCTCTGCCATGTTAGGATGCAGCTAGAAGGTCCTCACTAGATGCTGGTGCAAAGTTGTTGGACAGCCTAGATCCCTGAACATGAGCTAAATAAACCTTTGTCTTTTGGTTCTTTGGTTTTTATTTCATTTTACAACTAACTCAGTTTCAAGTATACTTTTTATTTAATTTTTAATACATTTATCGGGAGGCTCAGTGCCATGGTTTACAGGTAAAGGCAGACAACCTGTAGGAGTTGGTTCTCTCATTCCACCACGTGGATCCCGTCAGGTGGTCAGGCCTGGTGACAAGTGCCTTTACCCACTAAATCATTTCACTGGCCCTAAATTTTATTACATTTATTTAGGGGTGTGTGTGTGTGTGTGTGTGTGTGTGTGTGTGTGTGTGTGTGTGTGCACGTGTGTGTGTCTGTGTCTGTGTGTGTGTCTGTGTGTGTGTATGTGCACGTGTGTGTGTGTGTGTGTCTGTGTCTGTGTGTGTGTGTCTGTGTGTGTATGTGTGCGTGTGTGTGTGTGTCTGTGTGTGTATGTGTGCATGTGCGTGTGTGTGTGTGTGTGTATGTGTGCGTGTGTGTGTGTGTCTGTGTGTGTATGTGTGCATGTGCATGTGTGTGTGTGTGTTTGTGTCTGTGTGTGTGTATGTGTGCGTGTGTGTGCGTGTGCGTGTGAGTGAGTGTGTGTGTGTGTGTGTGTGTGTGTGTGTGTGTGTGTGTGTGTGTACATATGCCACAGCATGTATATGGAGTTGGGAGGACAACTTGCAGGACTCTGTTCTCTCCTTCCACCAGGTGGGTCCAGAGGATCGAACTCAGGTGGTCAGGCATGGCAGCAAATACCTTTACCCACTAAGCCATCTCATTGGACCTCAGCTAGTGTATAATAGCAGCAGAAAACACCATAAGAGTTCCTAAACTCTTCCGGTGCCAAGTCAGTACCATGGGAACAGTATGGCTGGCTTTGACATTACTTCTGACAGGCCAAATCTTATTGGACTAAGAGAATCATTTGCTCACCAAAGAGGTTATGAACACCTAGTGAATAGCAGCAGCTCCTCTTACTCGGTCCTGGGATACTACAACAGTGTCCTCTCCAGCCTCAGAGCTCAAAGATCAGACCTAGACTTAGCTTTCTTAAGGATATGCAAGGATCCAGGGCAGAAATGGCAACCAATAGTTGCTTCTTTTTCCAAACTAGATCCACCTTTCCCTGTAGTCGCTCACAGAAAGAGAATTGTTACATGCAGTCCCAACAAAATGAGACATCTTCAGTTAAGGGATGTGCAACATCTGTTGCACTCACACGCACACGCACACACACACACACGCACACATACACACACAACATCTGTTACCAGAAGTCCCAACAAAATGAGAATGTCACCTGACCAGGTCCATGAAAGCATCAGCTGTTGGGACAGTCTCAATTCGGCCCTCACGGTGCAACCCCTCCTTGGAGCCTTTCCCAGGATGGATGATGGTGACCATTAGGATCCCAATGAAAACCGCAATGACTGTGGTCACCATGTAGTACACAGCTGCCCGCATTCCCATCCGCCCTGTTGCCTTGTTGTCCAGGGATGCCATACCTAGAAAAGAGATAATGCAGTCCGTGCAACAGCACCCACTCCTTTTTCCCTCCTTCTGTTCCACGCATTCCATACCATCAGCTCAAAATCATTGCACATCCCTTAACTGAAGATGTCCACAAAAAACATGGTTCACCTTATAATGCTGAGAGTTATCTACACAATCACTTTTATGCTATCAGGAATAAATATATTATCAGGCAAAATATAATTTGATTATAGTTTTTTAATGTGAATAAAAGGAGTTGGTAAGATTACTCAGTGTTAAGAACACATACTGCTCATATAGGGAACCCAAATTCTAGTAGCAACACAAATATTCTGTGGCTCACAACCACTTGTAACTCCAGCTCCAGGGTATCTGATGCCCACTTCTGGCCTCCATGGGCACATGCATTCATGTGTACATACCCACATAGACACATGATTAAATAATAATAACAAAATAAGTATATAAAAGTAAATAAAAGTTTTGTTTCACTTTGAAATAAAGTTGTACAGTGTACAGGGTATACCCCCACCACCTAGAGATGATCTGAAGTACACGAGAGGAGAGGCATAGGTCATCTGCAAACATTACATCATTTTACAGAAAGGGCTTCAGCATCCTCAGGTATTGGTGTCTATAGGGATCTTGAAACCAATCCCCTGGTGGTTCAACCCAGGGATGATTCAGTTTTTGATTCTCAAGCTAAAAACAAATTTTTAAATGAAAATATTGCTCAAGAAATGAGTAACTGGGCCAGCACCCTGGACCTGACTCAAAACCAGTTCGCTCACTACCATAGATATGTTGTGGGGAAGCACACACACATGAACACATACCACTCCGTTTTATTACTCCAAATAACTCCACCAATCACAGTACCTCCGCTTTACTCCAAGTCAACCTTTCAACTTCCACCCAACCCTCCCCCTATCCTGCACCATAAATATCACAATCATTGAAGTCTTCATCCCAGGGCCCACCACAACTCCCACCTCCCTCGAACCCACCCCTTTCTACATTTTGCCTGGATACTGTTCATGCTGTACCTATATGTCCCCTACCAGGCCAATGCAACCATCCAGCTGCTATGAGTTTGAGATAGGCCCTCCTCCAGAAAGGCCCCAGAGTCCAGCAGCAGTCAATGATTGACTGGTGCAGGGATTCAGATGAAGACAGAGGTGGTGGTGAGGGACACCTCCATGATGTTGCTCACACTTTAGAGCCCCTGCCTAGTGGGAGTGCACTGAGACACCAGCCTTCTTCTGAACACATGCCTTTGCTTAGCTTCATTCCCCATCCTGTCCTTCTTCCCTCACTTCCTCGTGGGTTTCTCCCTCAGTGAGTCTCTTGTGACCAGATCTACATGTCAGGCTTGGCTTCTAAGAAGCCCAACCTAAGAAACCAGCCTTGATCATTATTTCTGTCCCTAAACCCAAGGGTTGTTAAACATCACCTATGGCCTAAATCTGCTGCACTATTTGCTTTTGTAAAGTTTTATTGAAACACAACTCTGATGAGTAGTTTCAATTGTTAACTCAGCACAATCTGGTACCACTAGGAAGAGAGACTCAATGGGGAATTTTATAGATCAGGTGACCTGTGGCATGACTGGGGGCAGGGGGTCAAGATTACATTGATTGAAGGAGGAAGGCCAATCATTGTGTGTAGCACCATTCCCTAGACAAGGGATTCTGGACTGTATACGTGTAGAGTTGGAACTTGATACAAACAAGCATGTGTCCATTTATTTTCTCTCTGCTCTTGGTTGTGGGTGGGTTATGATGAACCGCTTCAAGTTTCTATGTTGACTTCCCTGAATGGTGGACTCTAACCTGAAACTGTCAGCTAAAATAAACCCTTTCTCCCCTAAGTTGCTTTTTATCAAGTATTTATTGCAACAACATAAATGAAACCAGGGCAACAGCCATGCCCACTTGCTGACATATTGCCTATAGATGCTCTTCTACTCCAGCATCAGAACTGCACCATTGCAACGAAGATCCGATGGCCCTGAAACGAAAACATGTACTCTCTAGAAGAAAAGGTGCTACATAACCCATCACAGTTCCTTCCCTTCCTCCAGCCTCCATCCTGGCACCTCCATCCCACTCACCTCCTACATGTTCACCCACATTCCATCTATCATCTACCCCATATCCCAGCTGCCTCTCCTGACCCTCCACAGCCTTTCTTTCCCCTCTGGATACCCCAGAGCTCTGGCAGAATGGGATTTTACCTTCAACAACAAGTACAAGGAAATTATTGGGCCACATGGATCCTGTGACAGCAAGACAGAAGCAAGACCTGGGCACAGCTTGAGTTGATGTGTTGGGAAAGGGCCCCCATGGGTGGGGAAACCCTGGCTCTGTTCTCAAGTGTGGACTCAGAAGGGGTCCTGGAGATGCACAGTGGCTTGGGGTCTCACCTGTGACAAGGCTGGAGACAATGAGCGGGAGCACCAGCATCTGCAGCATCCTCATGAGCAGCTCACCAGGAAAAGAGAAGTACTTGATCTGGCGGTAGGAAAGCTGGTACGGGCGCAAGGCGAATGCCAGGCTGACCCCTAGAGCCAGAAAGGAAGGGTTCATGGAATGAACTATGAATCTCAGCCCCAAGCACCGTCCATCCATCTCTAAAAGATTATAGTAGGGTGAGCAGTGACTATTCTAGGAATGCATTTGTGTACATGGGTATTACGTGGATTTGTGTGTGCATGGGTACATTTGTGCAAGGGTATGTGTGTATGTGCTTGTGTATATACAGATGTGGGTATTTGTGAGTGAATGGGCATGTGTAAAAAGATGTATACATGGGTATGTATGTGCATGTGTGTATGTGTGTAAGTATGTGTACATTTGTGTGAGCATGGGTATATATATGTGGGTGCATGATGAGCATTTGTGTGAATGAATGTGTGCATGTAGTTGTGTGCACATGGATATATATGTGCACTGTATGCATTTGTGTGTGGATAGGTGTGTGTGTACATTCATATGCACATAGGCTCATATACAAAGATATGCACATGCATTTCTTGGGTGTGTCTATAAGTGTGACTCTTTTGTCTGTGTTACCACTTTCTTTTTATTTTTTTAAGATTATGCACACAGTGTTCTCCTGTGGGCCAGAAGAAGGTACCAGACCTCATTACAGATGGCTGTGAGCCATTATGGGGGAATTGAACTCAGGACCTCTGGAAGAAAAGCCACTGCTCTTAACCATTGAGTCATCTCTCCAGCTCTATGTTATCACTTTCAAATATGGAAGTGCATATGCAATTGGACTTCTAAGCATGTAGATGTAAATGCATAGATGAGTGTGTGAAAGTATTCACAGCTGGCCATGGTATCCTTAGAATCCACACTGTCAAATTAATCAAGTACACATGGAAATTTTTAGGGGAAAAATTATCTGTTGAAAGCAGAAGGGGGGCTGTTTGGGAAGAGAAAAGGGACCAGCAGGGGGTGACTAGCTAAGGGGGGGTGAAGGAAAAAGAATATGATTAAAGCATATTGTATATAGATATGAAGATGTCATGAGGAACTCATTAATTTACACAACCTACACATAATTATTTAAGTTGTGTCTGTTGAACATGTAGAGATTTTTTTCTCTTATCAATATTTCCTAGACAATACAGTATAACAACTGTTTACCTAGCAGTTACATTGCTTTGGGTGTTACAGGTAACCTAGAGAGCAAGATAGCCACAGATCCTATACAAACACTACCCCATTTTATTTAAGGGACTTGAGCAGCCATAGATAACAAATGCTTGTGGATACCCAAACCAATAGACAATCAAGTTCCTTAAATAAAATGGGGTAGTGTTTGCCAGAATCAATCTCCCAAGGGTATGATGGATAGCTGCATATTTTTATGAACATTAGCACAGTTTATGTGACCGCACCTCTAAATTAAGATATGTAAGATATATTCATATGTAAGATATATTTATCCTTCTCTGTGTGTAGTCATAAAGTGCATGTCTGTTCAGTGTACTTGTGTATGCCCATACCCACTGTGTTTGCGTGTGTATGTGCCCTCTCTACCTGAGTCCTCTGATGGGCTAGGGGATTGTGAGATAAGTGCACCAGAGAGGGTGAGTAGTTAATGGAAGTCCCGCCTCCCAGAAGCAGAGCTCACCAATGATCACAGCGCTGACTGTGAGCAAGATGAAGGCATTTCTGCGCAGAAAGCGCCACACGTGCTCTCGGGTCATGGTCTGCAGACGCAGGCGCGTGCGCAGTGCTCTCTGCTGCAGACTGTCCTGCAGGCCCTGCAGACAGCCCACGCCACCCAGGCGCTGACCGCTCTCCCTCAGGAACAGACTGTTGCCGTGGCTGCTCATCGCGTTTCTGCCGAGGAAAGAGGAGACCAGGTCTGGTGAGGGAGGAGTCCGGGAAAGGAGTGGGTAAGTGGAGGGGCGGGCACTTGCAGCTCAGAAGTCAGGGGAGGGGCGATGCCCATGTGCTTGTTTGCAGGGATGACTGAGACCCTGCCCTGGATCGGATTCAGTTTTTATCCCAGCAACAAAAGGTTAAGGTCTTCGGACCCAAACACCAGAGAGGGTGGTTAGAGACAGTGTAGAAAACACACACACACACACACACACACACACACACACACACACACACACGTTTTCTGCCTCCAGCCTCCTTCACTGAGATCATCCCAAGCAACTGGGAGCTGCTGCTGCAGCTCTCAAACTAAAGTGCCAGGCCTTTGCTGAAGTTCCATTGCATAAGAGCTCTTGAAAGGGCACCTTTAGGCTAGTCGCCCTAACCACAGTAGTTGGGTGTCCAGCCCGAAGACGCCCATAGTCGACTTTTCACAAGGACATAATCAGCCGGTGCCTGGGAAACAGTGGCACCCAACTAATGTGGCTGCTCCGTGTGTGTGTGACCAGGACAACAATGTTGTGAGGGAGGGGTCGCTGGGAAAGAAATGATGACAATTCTAGTCCCAGCTTGAGGTTCATGACCCTCTTTTGGAGTGAAACCTCAGACTTTGTGTCCCTTCTTTACATGTGTCCGTATTTATTTATCCTTATTGACTTACTTTTTTTTTTTTTTTTTTTTTTTTTTTTTTTTTTTTTGGTTTTTCAAGACAGGGTTTCTCTGTGTAGCTTTGCGTCTTTCCTGGATCTCGCTCTACAGACCAGGCAGGCCTCAAACTCACAAAGATCCGCCTGACTCTGCCTCCCGAGTGCTGGGATTAAAGGCGTGCGCCACCACCGCCCGACTTGACTTACTTTTTTAAAGATAACCAAAATGGGATGATGTGTTTTCCATGAATTAAATAAAATGCACGTAAATATAAAACCTGCCAGTCTGTTTAGCAGCCGAACACTTGGAAGTTACAAAACAGCTTAGAAACTGTGGCTTTTGACACAGCCTTTGACAGCCCTGTAATATCAGCTACTCTAGAGGATGTGGGGGAAGGCAGTTTACAAGTTCAAGGCCAGCACCTGCAACTTAGTAGGACCCTGTCTCAAAATAAAAAGTTAAAGAGAGAGCTACTGGGCAAGGGGTGGGAGATGGCTCAGTGATTGAGGGTGCATATTGCTTCTGTAGAGGACCAGGGTTCCATTCCCAGCACCCACATCAGGCAGCCCAGAACTGCTATGCCCCCTTCTGGCCTCATTGGTACCTGCACTCACATGTACAAACACACACACACACACACACACACACACACACACACACACACACACACACACAATCAAAACTGAAAATAAAATTCCCTTTTAAAGAGGGCCAGACTATATAGCTCAGTGGTAGAGTACTTGCCTGCCATGTTCAAGACCCCAAGTTCAGTCCTCAGTACTGATCCCCTCAGCTTCCCAAGGAGCTGGGATTGCAGGCATGCACCACCAGTGCAGCATTGTTTTGATGCCACTACCCACGTGGCTGTCTTCTAAGATGGCTGCCCTCTGTATCTGTCTCAGTTCTCCACCTGCTTCCAAAAGACAGGTCGCCTGACTAGGCTTTCCATGCCCTGTATCCTGCAACTGCTTCTCATTGCAAAGCCCCATTCAGGATTTTGCTCCAAATGAACTGGTCCTCTGAAGCCACAGTGTTGCTTCTCACCTTGCTCTGAACATTCACAGGCACAGGACTGCACAGAAGATGAGCAGTCTCTCCCTATCCTCGTGACATCATGTTACTAGTTACCAAATGATAACTCAAAATCACCTATGAATCCCAAGAGCATTCAACGGAGTCCAAACCAGTCAGGGGCCTGAACACTTGTCTCTTTCCTGCAGTCCAGGCAGCTGGCTCTGCAGATCCACAAATCAACCTCCTCAGATAAAGCCAACACTGGATGTGAAGTGTTCACTGAGTCAAGCCTAGAGCTGCACTCCCATCATCTCGGCATTTAGGAGGCTGAGACAGCAGAAGCAGGAGTTCAAGGCCAGCCTGAGTTGGGTATAAAGACCCCCATATCAGAAAGTCAATCAATCAGCTCACATCTAGCTTCAAGAGCTCTTGACAGTTGATGGGTTCTGGAGGAAGAAAGGGCAGTTTTCTTCAGTGGTGTGGCCCATGATAGGTTGCCTGTGCTCCAGTGGTTGGTGCCTATACTCATGGGCATCGGGGCAGCACTAAATGGACTCAGTGGATTCTTTAGAGGAAGGGAAGATAAGGAGGAGGAGGAGGCAGCAACCTGCAGTTAGGAGGAGTCAGGAGGAGTGAAGAAGAGTTGAAGAGGAAAAAGAAGAGAGGTAGACATGATCTAAATATACATGTGCTCATGTATGAAACCACCAAGGAATACTTTTTAAAACTCAACGGTAAGGCTGGAGAGACGGTTCGGAGGTTAACAATGCTTGCTGTTCTTTTTTTTTTTTTTAGGTTTTTCGAGACAGGGTTTCTCTGTGCAGCTTTGCGCCTTTCCTGGATCTCGCTCATCTAGACCAGGCCAGCCTCGAACTCACAAAGATCCGCCTGCCTCTGCCTCCCAAGTGCTGGGATTAAAGGCGTGCGCCACCACTGCCCGGCGCTTGCTGTTCTTTGAAAGGACGGCAGGTCGGGTGGCTCAGAGCCAGAGGGTCCAACTCTTTCTTCTGTCTCTGAAGTCACCTGAACTCAAGTGCACATAGCTACACGTGAATACACATAATTAAAAAGATAAAAATAATTTCTACTTTGTGTGTGTGAGTGTTTGACTCCATGTATATATGTGCACCGTGTGTGCGGTGACCACGGAGTCCAGAAAAGGGCCTTGGATCCCCCGGAACAAGAGCTACGGGGAGTTGTGAGCTGCCCTGTGGGTGCTGGGAGCAGAATCTGGGTTCTCTGTGAGAGCAACAGGCACTCTTAAATGTTGCGCCATCTCTCCAGCCTCAAAAGAATTTTTTTTAAATCAATGATAGTTATCAATGAGTTTAGCATGTGCAAAGGCTTGGATTTAATTCTCAGCACCAAAAATCGATCAATCAATTGATAAAAAGTTGTTCAATTTGCACCTCTACTGGGCATGAACAGACTTTTCCTCTTATTCCCTAAACAATACAGCATAGCAACTATGCACAGTATTGAAGTTGTGCTAGGTGGAGTTATTCTTATATTTATTACTGCATGTGTGTGGTCAGAGGACAACTTTTGGGAGTCCATTCTCTCCTCCACCATGTAAGTCTCAGAGATTGAACACAGGACTTCAAGTTTGGTGAGGAGCACCTTTACCCACTGTGCTAGGCGTTAAACGTAATGTAGAGATGAGTTAAATATGAAAGAAGACAGGAATGCATTCTGTGCAAATATGATGCCATTTTATGTAAAAGATTTTTGAAATACAAGGGGTTTGTAGTCTACCTAGGATGGAGGGTGTGTCTGGAACAAATTCTCTGAGACCTAAAAACAACTAGATAGTGTGGGAGTTGACATGATAGTCTGTGAGTCAAATCTGGCCTGGTATCTCTGTTGTTGGCATTTTTTTAATCATGGTATTGGCACACAGCTGCGTTCATTCACTGTGTAGTTCTGCAGGTGCTCTCAATCTTCAGTGGCAAAGGTGAGTTGCTGGAATAGAGTTCACAAAACAAACTATTTGCAGAAGTGGGGGTGGGGAGGACAAGGTGGTTTGATGGGTAAAGAGGATTGCTGCCAAGCTGGATGGCCTGAGTTCAGTCCTGGCCCCACACGGTGAAAGGAGAGAACTAACTCCCACAGATTGTCCTTTGACTGCTTTGTGCACACACACACACACACACACACACACACACACACACACACACACACTGAATAAATGTGATTTTTTTTAAAGGCTGACTGTAGGCTAGTAAAAGCACACATGAGTGATGGAGTAATAGGGCATGGCTCAGGAGTACATGAGGCCCTGAGTCCCATCCCAGAACTAGAGGGAGAGAAGGGCCAGCAGGGAGTAATTAACAATTAAAAACAATTCAATAAATAAGCAGAAATCCAAAAGGTACAGGGTTGAACTCAAATGCAAGGCTGTCTTCCACACCTTCACCATGCCTGCCTAGATCAAGGTAAACGTATACAGCTGTGATTTGTCACTATGTTAATACTTCCCTTTTGTCTCAGTGGACATGTGATCATTGCTCCCACTCACAGGGCACAGCGAAGCCTCTCAGAACAAGAAGGCAAACCAAGATGCCAGATCAAGTTCCTTAGCACTTTCATCCCCATTAGCCCGGAACATTCCAGCTCCTGTCTTCTAATCCTTTATAAAAGAATAAACTGTTGAACAGTCTCATCACCCCGCTCTTCCCTGTCTCCCCTCTCATAATCGCTATTCTACTCTCTGTTTGTTCAAGGTCAGGATCTGTAGCTTGCACATGAATGAGGTCACACAGGATTTGACTCTGTGTGTCTAGCTTATAAAATTAGCATTAATCATTTGGGGGAATGCTATAATGAAAACGAACCCTTTGTATGCTTATTAAAATGCAATAAATGTTTTAAAGCAACCTTTTATAATACTTGACTTGAAAGTATCCTCCACCTGGGAAGAGCCCCGGGAGCTGTCAGGCATGTCGCATACAGGGAGCCAGTTGTTCAGGTTTTTTCTGGTTCTAGGCCTTCTCTCAGCCCCTGTCTCCTAAGCTACCTAGTCTGAAAATGGCCTTTCCAGGATCTCCAACCTCTGCAAGGTAAAGGGTTAACAGATGGGTCTCACCCCTTGTCCCCTCAACTCTCAAGTGTAATGAGCCATGCCAGCCACCCCTTGGGGATAAGGGGAAGACAGGAAGGTCCTTCTGAGCCCTAAAGCTCAAAAAAGGGTCAGACTTTCAAGACTAAGAGGCCTTTGAAAGTGAAGGGCTTGTCTCACTAAACAGATGATATCCAAAGCTAAGGGCCACCGCCAACATGGCCAGAAAGCAATGGGGGAGAAGACCTCGAATGATCTAAAGGGACCATGGTGTGTCATAATAAGCCCCGAGGGAGAAGAAATGTACAATTACATTAACATCTTATACATTGGCTGTCGATGTGCAATGGCACCAACTCCACAAAACAGTCATTGTCCTGGGATAGAAGGTTCATCCAAAAACAGACTTGTGTGAGCCTGGCGTGGTGATGCAGGGCTATCATCCCAGCACTTGAGAAACAGCAGCAGAATGGCAAGTTTCAGGCCAGCCTGGGCTACACAGGGAGCTCTTGTCTTCTAATGGGGTGCGGGGAGGGATTGAGGGAAAGAAGTGGAGAGTTGTTGGTACTTCTTAACCAAATCAGAATGTGATACGATGTGACCTTGCTGGGTTAACTTCATCCTTCAGGAAAGGAATGTGCAGAAAAGATTTTTTGTTTGTTTGTATTTTTTGTTTTCTTTTTTTTGTTGATGTAGTCTAAGGCTGTAGAGATGTGTGTGTGTGTGTGTGTGTGTGTGTGTGTGTGTGTGTGTGTGTGTAAAGATGAGCTTATTTTTATCTTATGTATGTGAGTGTTTGCCCTGCATCTAACTCACCTGGTGCCTGTGGAGGCCAGAAGAGGGTGTTAGAGCCTCTGGAACTGGTAATCAAACCAGGATCCTCAGCAAGAGCAGAAAGTGTTCTTTACCACTGAGCCATCTCTCCAGCCCTCAAGCTGTGAATTTAAATGGCCTCCTGTTTTTTCTTTCTTCCCTCTGTTCTCAGACCTATAACTAAGCCATCTCTAAGGTCTTCTCTTACACAAACAATGGTGGGCTAAATTGTGGATAGATGCTGTGCTAAGTGGAGGAGTGAGTGACAGGAGGAAAGGCAGGATAGGAAATGAGTTCATCTCACACACACACTTGAATACAGCCTCACATCTTGTGTGCAGTTGACACCTACATAATCCTTTATGGACACACAGTCCCACATAGACTCTTCAGACAAACAGCCACACACAACCTTCAGAAATGCAAATTCATATTGGCACACCAGACACACCATTCCTCCACAATTTCACACAAACATCTGCTACATTTATGCACACCAGCAGACACATAACCACTCACACACCCTCAGAAATGCAACCCCATGCAGCCAGCATCAGTCATACAACATCTGCAGAGATACACACACACACACACACACACACACACACACACACACACACACACACACCAGCCACTGCCATGCACATCATGAAACTCAAAGCCACACTCTTTTGAGTCTCCTGCACAAATACCCCATGCAAATGAAACTACATGGACAGTGACATCCGCACAATTCTTAGGTACACAAGCACACACTTGAGAGCACAAAACTCTCAACATTCAAGCACTTAGCTACACACACCTCTTTAGAAAAGCAATCTCACCCAAAACTCAATCACACACATACAACCATGCACGCAGCATCTCCATACCCAGTTCCCCTGGAATGGTGGTCAGTCTTAATCACAGCAGACATCGCTGGGGCTAGGTTATGAACCTCTGGTAGGGAAGAGGGAGTCCAGCCCAAGATATAGGAGAGGCGTCAGATTCAATGTTGGAAACAGGACTATGTGAGAGCTAGGGTTACTGAATAAGGAGTGTGGGAGATGGGAAGGAGACCCAGGGACCTATCGACAGGAAACTCAGCAGGGTGACTAAGGGCAGAGGCAGGCTCAGCACCTGTAAAGGGACGGGGAAGAGCTAAGGAATGGTAGCGAGGAAGTGGGGACCTGTGCACAGGGGACCCCCACCTGCCTCAGACCCAGAGTCAGCCCCGCGCAAGGGCAAACGTCCCACTCACCAGCCTTGGGTCAGCCGGGCCGCCTTGCCCGCGCCTCCGCCTGCGCGCTGCGCCCAGATGCAGAAGCCAGAACCTTTGGAAGCGCCCGGCCGGGTCCGCCAGGACCCGCCAGGGACCCGCGCTGAATCTGCGTTGGGGACCGGACTACCAGGACACCGGTGCGGAGCCGGGACGCGCTGTGCAACCCGAGGGATGCGGGCTGGTCTTGCGCTCACGTGGGCGCAGGGGGCGAGGGGGCCGGGGCGGGGGGCGGTACCCCCTCAGGGATGTCCCCCTGCTGCAGCGGCACAGGAGCTGGGGGACGCGGGGCGGGCGGGGTGACCGGCCTCTCGCACACAGCCTCCGCCCCTGCGCCGAGCCGCGCCTCCGAGCCCGCCCCCTGCCCCTCCCGAGTCCTCCGAGGCCAGTAAGTCCCCTTGGGAGGCACAGGGTACCCGACGTTGTTAGCGCTGCGCCGCCGGAGCCCACATCCTCAGCGTGGATCTGAGGCAGGGGGAGGGAAGACCGCCAGCGTCGGGTGACCACCCGCCACCACTCACTGGCCAGCTTCTCCCTCGGGTGCACCTCTCTGGCTTTGGCCACTTCTGCTGTGTCCCTTTGGGCTAGCCCCTCTCCCTCTCTGAGCCTGACCTGAGAGAAAATTACAGCTGAGCAAAGCTAAGCGCGCAAGAGCGTGGGAACGCTCTCTGCAACGTGAACCGCTGTGCAAACCGGAACCTTCCGTAATTGCTGTTACTGTTGTAATTAATAGTATCCCTTGCTATCAGGACAGTACACGGGACAATGTGGAGCTGTATTTTTCCTCTCAGATGGCACTGACTGGTTGCTTCCAGCCCATTAGTTCTTCTGAGAACTGGGGCTCCTTATAGAGATCTGCACAGAGCCCAGCGGGGGAATAAAAGTCAGTGCGGTGGACCCTGGCAAGATGGCCTACAGCTCGCAGTGCTAGGCTGGTGAGTTGAGTTCCATCCTTGGAATTTACAGAAAGGTGAAAGAGAGAACTGACACCAGAAGCTGTCCTCTGACCTCCACACGTGTGCTGTGACAAGCTCACCGACACACACATGCACACACACATACTTATTATTATTATTATTATTAAAAGCTAATAGGTGCACGTTATTGTTACTTTGGGGCAATTATTGGTGGCAACCTTGTGAATCAGACAGACTCCTTTAGCTACATCTCATTTGCATAGCCCTACGAAGTATACCTTACCACCCCAGTTTGTGGACAAAGTAACAGGTAGGTACTCAGAAAGCAGCACAGCCAAAGCGCTGTCCCCCAACTCCAGTCTTTGTGCACACAGCCCTGGCCCTAATCCTTGAATACAACTGCTAAACAAGGTGGTTCTCAATCTTAGATGTACCCTTCAAACACCAGGAAAAAATTTTAAATTTCTGATGCCAAATCAAACCTTCACTGGGATTCCATCTTTCCCGAGTCAGTGTGGCTGTCACCAATAAAACCAGAAAGAAATTCTGGTGAGGACAGGGAGTAAGGGAACTTTTACACTCTGATTGTGAGAGTGTAAAATGGTGTAGCTACTGTGAGCATTCCTATAGAGGCTCCTCAAAAAACTGAAAATAGAAGCGTCATGTGACCCAATTAGACCCTGCTGGAGAATAGACATAAAGGATTTTAACCCAGAGATCCACACATCATGTGTGTGGCAACGCTACTCACCATAGCCACTGTGTGAGAGCTGTCAAGCATCCATCAACCCCTGAACAGATAAAAACATTTCAGTACAAGTACACAGTGGAATTTTACTCATCTGTAAAGAACAAAATTGTCAAATTTGCAGGGAAATAGGTAGAACTTCAAATTACCATTTTTAAATATATTTTTATTTGTTCTTTAAGAATTTCATACTTGCATACAATGTATTTTGATCATACCCTCCTTCCAACTCTTCCCAGACATTCACCACCACAACCCTGTACTGACTTGACTCTTATTTTTGACCCATTGAGACCCACTAGTGCTATTTCTGTGTGGATGTGCGTGTGGCCATCCCCTAGAGCATGGTCACCCTACCAGGGGCCACACTCCTCAAGAAAACTGACTTTACCTCCCCAAGCAGCCGTCAACTGTCATGAGCTCCTCAGCTATGGATTGGGGCTTGTGAGCTCCTCCTGGCTCTATGCAAGCATTCTCATTAGCTAGATCTTGTGCAGGTAACCTGAGTAGCTGTCCATGAGTTCAACAGTCCTGCCATGTCTAGAAGACATTGCCTGCCAACCAGTGGCTCACAAAACTTCTGACTCCTGTTTAAACTTCAGACCAACTGAACCACAGCCCTTGAATGAGACCCAGCCATTGGTTTATTTAAATAATCGTGCAAGTGATGCGTTGTAGATGTAACCAACCGTCTTATTAAATAAGAAACACAGAGCCAATACAGAGATGAAAGCCCAGAGGTCAGAGCAATAGCTAAGAGCTAAAAACCTTACCCTTCACTTTCGCTGTTGTCCTACCTCTCTGAAAGAGACCTACTTCCTGTGTCTGTCGTTTTTATAGAGTTTCTGTTCTGCTTTCTCATTAGTTGTAAACCCAACCACATGACCTCCTAGTCACTGCCTGTCTGTACAGACCTCCAGGTCTTCTATGGTTGGTATTGAGATTAAAGGCGTGTGTCTCCAATGCTGGCTGTATCCTTGAACGCACAGAGAGCTACCTAGCTCTGCCTACCAAGTACTGGGATTAAAGGCGTGCACCACCACTGCCCAGCTTTCTCTATGGCTTGCTAATAGCTCTGACCCCCCCCCGGGCAATTTCATTTATTAACATACAAATAAAATCACATTTCAGTACAAATAAAATATCACCATATTTCCCCTTTTGTATTTTAATAAAAAGAAAAAAGGAAAAAGGTTATAACTAACATAAGAAAAACTATATACAAAAGTACAATAACTATATACCATATATATACAAGTAATAAATACCTAAAAATGTTTAGTCCATTTGTATTTGACAAATTCAGAGAAAATAATTCCATTATCTATGCTATTTTGGTAAGTCCAAAATGTACCTAATTCACTTTCTATCCTAACTAATCTTCAACTATAACTAACTAATCTTCAACTCTAACTAACTAATCTTCAACTCCCTCAGAGACCCAAGAAGGAAATAATATTACCTAATAAAAAATAAAAACAGGAAATGCATGCAAGCAGCCTCCAAAAAAAATGTGAGTTGACAGAAACAGCCAGCTGCCTGGACAGTCACCTGAGGTTTCTCTGCAGTGTTGGGGCATCATCTTCAGCCTATAGGCTTAGCATATCTGACAGACTCATTTGTGAAGTAGGATGTACACAAGTTCATGTTGAGTGAGAGCAGTCCATGTACCAGAAATACCTGAATTCCACTAGCGTCCTGTCATGATTCAGGATTTTAAATTCTGGAAATTGTTGATGGTTTTTGAATTCAGATGTCCATTCTTCTTGGCTGTGTATATGTGGCTTCATCTCAGCATCCCGTTCTTCTCCATATCCCTCTATTAAATGCCAGTCTACTATTGAGAGGTGTGAGTTTAGTGACTCTTCAAGAATAACTGTTTCAGCTGCTGTTCCACTGCACATCAGAAGCCATCGGCCCACTGCCTGTTAAGCTGCCTTCGAAGAAAAGGGCACTGTACCTTTTCTGGATTGGGAAGGCCACTTCAGGGATGGTGCTATATTGTCCTGGCCTCAGAAGATGCTTTTTGATCAAGCCATAACCACACTTGTTTGGCAAGAATCAGTAGTCCTTTGTTTCGTGTCCTGTCTGTCCTGTTTGTCAGCAGTTGATTCGAGGATACTTTGTTGTCCAGTGGCTAACTTTTGCCACAATGAAAGTTAACTCCATATGCAGTTTTTTCAATGCCCATATTTTCTCTGAAGTAGATTGGTACTGCCAGGAGCCGACATGTCTCATAGTCATAACAAAAAGAGAAATTTTCTAAGTTATTAAAACATTTTAAATGCCATATTCTGTAGATCTCTAAAGGGTTTGAAGATGACCTGTCTATCTAAAATATATCTGCTCAATCTTGAAAACATACTAATATGACTACAAGTTCTATTATATTGTTTAACTTCTAACTTTCATTTCTTTATATCCTAATAGTTGGTAATAATAAGATTCAAGGATCAGAAAATTGCATTACATTGTTAAATGAATGGTATAAGTATAATTAGAAATATACAGATAGCATTTTCTAACAATATCAATTTCAATATATATAATTTGTATACAATATAAAAAATCCAATCCAATGAAAGTATTTAAAACTAGTAATTGTCTTTTTCTTTTCTTTTTTTTAAAAAACAAGAACCTTAAATCTAATCTCCTTTGCTTAGCCCTTTTTTAAACCCTTGACAACAACTTGTAACCAACCCCCCTAATCAATGAAAATTATCCCAGACCCAAAACACATTAAAAGACCAAAAAAAAAAATTAACTCAACCCACACCACCTCTTTGGGAATGTGGGCGTCGTATTCTTAAAATTGCTTCCTGCTGGGTATGGGCAAAGGTATCTTTATCCTGAAAAGAAAAATTTTAGGTTAATTGTCAAATTCTAGGAAAGGTAACTATATCCTTGGTTATCCAGTCTGTGTATAATGCCAAAGTTCAGGGTTTATCTCAAGTCCTTATTCAAGTAGTCTTTGAGACTGGATCATCTCAGCTAGCCCTCTCAAAATTGCTCTGAGCAGTTTGTAGTTCAAAGCTGATCTGTAGATGATGTTTGTCAGCTCAGTGATGTTATTATTGTCCACGAGGAATTGTTGTTGTTGTGGGGCCCCATCTTCTTCCTGGAGACTTCAGTTGATGTTAGGCCTGGCCGTGATTTCCTGCAGAAAACTGATAAGAGACTCGGACACAAAGACATATATAAGCAGCTAATTAAGCCTTTTTTCTAGAATTAGTTAGTACTCTATATGACAATTCATATCTTAACAAAGTTTAAAATGCATATATATATATGAATCTTGTAAATTTTGATATAAAATTTATACTTTAAGAAAAGTTTAAAGAACCAGAATAGAATCAAAGAGTTGAGATTAGTAATAGAATAGTCCCTTAATTAATTTGGCTTTTCTCCTGTCCCATAGCAGAAGATGGCTCTTTTCTTCTGGCATGATACAGGGAGTTTGCATTTTCCTTTTAAAAACATGCTTGAGTTTAAAGAAGGAGAGAGCCATTCTCCAACTCCAAAGTCAGCTTTAAATTTTAATTGAACTGGGACTACAAGAAGAACAATAGTGTTAAATGTCTTTAGAGAAGAGCAGAAACAAACATGTAGGAAGACTTATAAAATTTTATAGATGATATACCAATAGGCCATTTTACTCTGTTTCCTGGGATGGATGATTTGTCCTTTTCCTTCAGTTGTCTCATTTGTCCAGTGTTCTTCGAATTCTTTAACCTTCATTCTCCTAAAAGACAAAAACAAAAACCTTTCCCCAAGACTAATTTTGGGGATGTTCCCTTTTGGTAAGTTATTATCTGATTAAATGAAAAAGTATGTGTTAATGGTATAAGTTAGTTTAAAGTGATGGTTATGCTGGTTGATGAACTATCACCTCCTCTAATTAAGAGGTCTCTCTTGTTCAAATCGAACCTTTATCAATTTTGATGGTATCCACAGCTTATCTACTCCTGTAGAAACA